CAAACAAAGCTGGAGCCTAAATCGTGCACAAATCCAAAATCGCTTGCCGGGTCACTCGTCACCATCATGGCCGGCCGGCCAGGCAGTTCGGGCCAAACTAGAGCCGGAACTATTCGCCGTAGAATTCGCAATGCTGCTTTTGGCCAGTCGGGCTAATGGCTGAGGTCTTCATGCAATCTCTGCTGCCGGCGGATTAGTTTGTCCGACCATATATTCCGCCTATACCCGCCATTGCCCTGTACCCCTTCTTCCAAGTCCTCGCCTTGTGCTCATCCTTCCTTCCGTTCCGTTTGTCCGGCTGTTTGTCTGTCCGTCTGCATCCGTATGCGATTCATCTTGTGTGTAGGTGTGAGTGTGAGGCTGTGTGTCTGGATGTTTTGGTTTATTTGTCTGCCTTTATTTGCCTTGATTTCATCTTTAATTTAGGCAACGCCTGAATATCCATCCGGCCGGCGGTTTATGGCTCGTTTGCTCGTCGGCCGCTTATCAAAACATAATTCCCGGCATGATGAATTTGTGTGTCCGCCCATTTAACATGTCCGCGGGGCGTAGCCAACAAATTGAATTTCATTGTTATGGCTACGGTAATTAATACGCACACACCCCCAAAGCGAAAGGGGGGAATCACCCGACCAAACACACACACACAGCCTGCCAGCAATATGCACATGTATGGTGGCATGCATATGTATGCATTTCCGCTTTCTGCTGCATGCCCCATAAGTTCTGTAAACATGCACACAGCCATAGCAGATTATGCATAATTACAGCGATATTCAGAATGCTGGCAGCGATTTAAAAGCCAAAGATGCTAGTCAGTTAGCCAGTTGGTCCGACAAGGCCACTAGATCGAGACTACAGATCGAGGCCACATTTATCCTCCGGATAAAGTGCACACGAAAGCACAATTTTTTTTTCAGTAAAAGTTTACTTTGTAAAGATAATTTGTTTTTGTTTAATATGTGTATCGTCCTTACTGAAAGTAAGCTACTAATCCTAGTAGTTACTTATTTTAATTGAATTTTAATTAAGTATTCCCTATAATTATTATAAACTATATTAAATGGTTAACGCTCTGCTACCAATATGTCAGCTTAATCTAATCCTAACATGTTTTATTAAAATCTAAAAAATTTAAGACTTAAAATTGAAGAGAAGTATTTAGGTACGTCCTTATAGCTTCAGATCCCCCTTGGCTCTTATTCGAGGATCAGGATTAATGAGAGCAGAGGTCCCTAAAATCCTGGATGAGCTATTGGGATTTATTGAGACTTTTTATATATTTCTTTGATATGTACCAGACTTTTATAAACAATGAAAACAACAATAATCGTTTTAAAGAACTGCAAAGTATTCCATTTGTACTCAAAAGCCCAGTTTATAAAGCTCAAATACCGGAGACCAATTAGTAATTTTTTCTCGTTTAATCGTCCAGCCAAAAACCTTTCTGTGCTTCAAATAAATTTTTGTTGTTTAATCGCTTGTGTTTTATTTGCGCACATACTCGTATTTTATTTTATGACACAGCAGCCGGCTCAGTATTGACATCCGCAAAAGAGCGCAGAAAACCATAAATAACAAAAAAAGAGCCCAAAATGTACAAAGTGTGTACGGGGTGGACCAAAGAAAAAAAAAAATGCTGAAATGAATGCGACTGACCCGCCTGACCCCAACAATGGCAATCAGTTGTCGGGCAGCCCAACGTGCTCTCTTCAATTATTTGCTTTTGACCCACAAAACGGTCCAGCTTCCAACGTCCATCGTCCATCTAGCCAGCCACCATGTTGCTGGCAATGCGTTAAGTGCCGCAACTAGTGTGTTGGGCCGCTGTTGCCTCCCCGTGTCTGCTGCGGTTGCCATTGCCGCCGTTTTGTGTGTTGTTTCTGTGTCGCACGTATAAAGCTTTGGTCCCGAAGCGAATAATCAGATGTGCCCAAGGAGGTGGAGCTGGAGTTAGTTGGGTTTTATTTTTAATTAAACTTGTATTCACACAGCGAGCGCGGATCCGGGCGAAGCTCATAAAGTGGGCATCCTTGTTGCCATATTACGCATACGCCGCATGGGCGGTACGTATTTAGGGGAGAGAATGCAGAGGCGACCCAACATTTTTGTGGCCGCCATTAAAGGGTTACGGGTTCCACGGACTGGTCAGTGGAAGCAGAGTTTAAAGCCCGAAATCCCCTCTAAAACATCACGTTTCGTGTGTCAGTTCGTTAGTGTGAATGATGAGAGCCAGGATGGGGACGAGGGTTGTGAGTGGGCAGGATCTGGGGCCGGACTTAAACCGTGGGTGGACCGTGGATGCAGCGTCTGCGGAGCTGGAGCAACGCTCAAAAATTTAATTACTTTCACTTGTGCCAACTGTTTGTCTGCCAGTCAGACTGAATGAAACGGACGACCGGCCAAAGGCATTTAACGTAAATGTAATGAAATTTCAGACGAACCTCTACGCACATTGGATGCCGTCCTTTTTCACTCTTATTCCCATTTCCACTCCGTTTTAGTCTCCTTTGACTCTGTTAACCGTCCGTTAGCACTTCGCTTGTGAGGGCGGACAGTGCGATGGCAGCTTTGGACTCCTGCGTCGGCTTTGTGACGCATTATGCGGCAAGTTTTCTCGCCTGCTGTGCCTCGGAAAGTGCAGCGTCTTTTTATTGCTGCCACCACGTCCGTATTTGCTGTTAGGAGTCTGGTGAATGTTAACGGAATTAAATGCCAACTGGGTACGTGCATTGCTCGAGTTACTCTCACTTACTTTAAGCTACAAGTGCTGCCTTGGAGGGAGCACTGCCAAATCAATCATACGCCATGTGGGGCGTGCGCGGGCTGCTCTGTTTTAAATTTAAATTTCATGTGTGCACAGCAAGGGAACAGAAAGGGAAAAGCACAACACATATGTATATATTTTTAATCCACAACAGGGCACACGTGTTCGCTGTGCTGTGCAGATTTTCAGATTGTGTATGTAAATATTTGCGCAATTCTAGAAATTTGTTTGACTGTTAAATCAAATGTAAATACGATATATTTTCAAAGTCAACATGCAGCAATTGCAGCAAAAACAAAGGGAAGCAGACCCGAGGCGGTGGCACTCGTACGGATCAGATATACATTTGAGATTTATCCTGACGTATGATTTAATTCAAATTTTACAACATTTGAATCTTAGAACACATCGTATCTAGAAGATAAGAATGTTTGATTCCAGGTTTGAGAAAGAGACGTCATCTTAAATGATTTTTATTTTAAAGGAAAAATACCAGGGCTTTGTCATTCTGCCAGAGTCTGATATTTTGTGGATACTCGGTTGCATTCATATAAATGACATTTTAAGGTTTTTCTTTGGTTTTTTGGTAAATGACAGATGGGTGAGATGCGTGTGATTGCCAATGATTGAAATACAAAATATTGAATTGTGGCTTTGTTTCGGGGCATTTTCCCTTTTCATAGAGAATTCCATGATTGCCATTCTCTGCAGCATGTAGCGTGTGCTAGTAAATATATAATTTGCCATTTCAGTTCATAGAGTAGCACACTGAGGACTTTCCCCGCACAAAATTTCAAGAGTCTATAGCCCTTAAATACAAAAATTATAACACTTTAAAACTTCTGTATATTTTTAATTACCTTTTCAAGTGTCACACATATCCATGATGATTACCCAGGGGGCTGGGCCAGTCAAGTACTTTCGAGTATATATGGGTTTTACAGCCATTTCCCACTTGTTCTGACCTACTTGCCAACAAGTTAGCATCCAAAGATGATTGGTTCCCTTCCAGCAGTTGTAATAATCGAATTGCCAGCTACCGTATCTGCATTTTCCCTTAGCTTACCCGGAACTGGGACTTATATTCGGATTGGGAGTCTGAGTCAGAGTCGGAGCAACTCGTTGCAGGAAGTGAAGTCGAAAGCGGAAGCATCTACAGATGGGAATGTGGGGCATGGTGAGCGGCCTCGAGAAGTCAAAAGGCGTTAACATTAATGCTGCCCTATCACGGACTGGCTGGTCTGATCCACTCGAGTGGGTTTCACTGTGCCTCTGCCGTGTAAATAGCACGAATGCAATTTTATTTTATTTATGTTTGAATTAAGCCCTGCTATCCAACCATCCAAGCTCCGGCACTCAGACAGTTTTTATAGGTAAATGAATTGCTTTAGCCATGGCTGAGAAACTGGTATCTTCTGCCTGTTGGAGTTTTTCCCATGAAAAATAAAGATTGATGCTTATCCTTCTCAGGGGCTAGGGTCTAAAATGATTCATTTAAAAATTATTCACTCTGGAGTTTGGCTTTATATTGTTTTAAGAGAGTCTGTGGACTTCGGCCTTTCTGTTAAATGGTTGATTTGCTTGATTTTCATCTCAGTTTTTTTTGCAATGTGCAAACGCACTTAATTAATTTTGTTTAACGTGTCTGAGGCAGACAGTGAAACAATTTCATATTTTGCTTGTTAACTGTTATCGTTGTTGCTCCTACTGGTCACTGGTGGCCACTGGTAGCCACATGTGGGCCATGAACACACACTCCCGTATACCGCACATTTTACATTGCGTATACGCCGCGTGGAGCGAGTTTGGGAGCTTGGGAAAACAAAAGCATCAACTGTCTGGCAGTCCAGCAGTCCGGCGGTATCCGCTATCCGATGTCTGCTGTCCACTGTCCTCTGCCCGTTGATGCACTGATTAAATGGATATGCAGAGTGTGTCTATCCAACCGCCTGGCGAAATAACTGTCAGTGCAGCAGGCCACGGGCATGGCTTTATATCTCCATGTCCGTGACCAGGGGACGTTGTCAGTGCAAATTATAAATTACCAGCAGATACCAACGGCCCGCCAGCTAACCAGCCACCCATCTGAGCCCAGAGCCACATGAAATTTCAATTAAAATAAAAATTTATACGCTTTTCGCCTTGTCGCTTATAATTAAAAACAATTTGTAAGTTATGGCCGCTGCTACCCATAATGCCCCTAATTTAAGCTGTTTTATCTGTGTGCTTTCAGGCGGTTTCATGGGTGACATAGCCCTGCCGGAGGGCGAGTCCTTCCCGGTGGTGGCTCGCACACCCGTCGACGACGAGGAGAAGGAGAGCCAGGAGGTCGAACAGCTGCTGGCAGATGCTCCGGCACCGGGACCGCCAGCAGTCCGTGGCCCAATCAAGTTCAATGCCACCTTCCAGCTGGATCTGGAGAAGCTTAAACAGGAGGTTTACCACGAGGGCTTGCAAGTGGAGGAGGAGGGTCTTACCGACATCATCCGCAAAAAGACCAAGCTGCCCAGTGCGAGTCCAGTGCATCTCACGGCCGGGCCGGGTAAACCACAAAGTCAGGTCAGTACAAGAACAAGATTTATTTTACAATTAAGTATAACCTTTAACACAATTTGATGCTTTGGAATGTCCAAGATATTTAATTCCTACTTTCCTAAAAAGAAAATTAAATTCAATTCCATTAAAGTACATTTTCTAATGCTCAAATTACTGAAATCACAAATTCAATTTGCTAATTGGCGTCCAACGCAGCCACTAGAGTCTCAATGTGCAACATGTTTACATTATATTTGAACAAGCACTGAACATCTGATTCAAGAGCTCTTTACTTAATACCCAGAGTGCTAATGAACCTGTGAAGCCCGGATCCCAGTCGCCCTCGGATTATGCCCAGCCTGCCAGCTACAAGAACGAGGTGATCCCCCCGTTGGAGCGGCGTCACAATCCGCCCAAGCCAGCCAGACTGACACTGGCCGAGATTAGCGACAAGTCCAGCAACAAGACACAGACCTACCACCGCAACGTCGACCTGCGCAAGATTCAATCCGACAACAAGGACATTGAGGACGACTCGGGCAACAACTTTGTGTCGGACCGACGCCAGTCCCTTATCGTTCCTACCTCCCTGCCGGAGCAACGCTCCACCCTGCCCAATGTCTACAGCAATGCGGGGGGCAATGGGATGCAGATCGACGAGGAGGTGGACTTCTTGCACTCGCGGGGCGTGGTGAGGAGGCGTCACCGCAGAGGTCCCAAACAGAGGTGAGAAATGATTAACACATATATCTCCCAGAGCTTAAATAAATCCCGTAATCGAATGAATCATCTCAATCGCAGGCGGAGCAATCATCACGCCGAGCACGAAGCCAAGCTGCAACGATTGCGCGAAGAGCTAAGCCAGCCTGTGGGGGAGGCGCATCACCACCACCGCCAACACCAGAACCACCACAACCAGCAGCTGCAACAACACCCCCACCAACAGAACCAGCCGCGGAAGAAGCACCGCTCGCATCGTCAACATCGTCGAAAGGGCCAAGGCACAACGCACTATGTGAACCACTCCCCATCGTCAGGATTCAATCAATCGGCCCAGCACGCTGTGCCCGAAATGGATTTGCCAAAAGTGGAGTAAGTTTGTTAATCCCCTACCATTGCCTCGGCATCGGCGTCGGCCTCCCTCCACTCCACACCACTCCATTCTCATCAGTTGCGAAAACCCACGGCCACATCCGCTTCCGTTGCCATTTCCTGTCCCGCTGTAAATTGCTGGCCATTTTCATTCATGTTTGGGCTTTTTTTGTTTTTTGGCATAAACTTTAAACAAACAGCAGCCATTTTGGCAAGCCCCCCAGCCACAAGCACACACTCGCAGCCACACTTAAACACTACTCATTCAGCCGATGTGTGTGGGGGGTGGGGGTGTGTACTGTGCATGGTAAAAGTTATGAATTTTAATAGAAATTCGCGTGCCAAAAGTTGTGCCGAACAACAACAGTGAAAAATGTATGGAAAACTGTTGGCAATTAAAATTACGCATACGCCACGTGGAAAGTTTTTGCCGAAACCCACTCAAATCCCCAGCGAACACTTGCTACAGAATCATCCGTACCTAATACTTGCCACTCTTATTTTACAGCCCACCGAAGGACGAGGCTGGGGAGGAGCAACATCGTCATCGGGTGGCCCGTGCTGTCACCGCCAAAAAGGAGCGTATTTGGGACTACGGTGTGATTCCCTACGAGATTGATGGCAACTTCAGTGGCATGCACAAGGCCCTCTTCAAGCAGGCCATGCGCCACTGGGAGAACTCCACATGCATCAAGTTTGTGGAGCGGAATCCGGAGATCCATCCCAACTACATTGTTTTCACAGTGCGCAGCTGCGGGTGAGTTAATTAAAATAAAGTTATATAGGAACTTGTCTAAAGGAGCTTTCAGTTCCCGCCACAAGCACAGACTTCTAATTAATAATTGAAAATTATTTTAGTTGCTGCTCCTTTGTGGGAAAACGCGGCAATGGACCCCAGGCCATCTCCATCGGTCGTAATTGCGACAAATTTGGAATCGTGGTGCATGAACTGGGCCATGTTGTGGGATTCTGGCACGAGCACACCCGTCCGGATCGGGAAAAGCACGTCACGATCGAACACAACAATATAATGAAGGGCCAGGAGTACAACTTCAATATGCTGTCACCGGACGAGGTGGACTCGCTGGGCATGGCCTATGACTACGACTCGATTATGCACTATGCGAGGAACACTTTCTCCAAGGGCACCTACCTAGACACCATTCTGCCCATCGAGATGAAGGACCGAAAGCGTCCCGAGATCGGTCAAAGGTTGCGTCTCAGTCAGGGCGATATTGCCCAGGCCAATCGGCTCTACAAGTGTCCCAAATGCGGTCGAACTTTCCAGGAGAGCACGGGCATCTTCGCCGCCCCGTCTTACTATACGGCCGGAGCGTTGACTAACGAGACGGAGCACTGCGAGTGGCGGATAACAGCCACTCACGGAGAACGAGTGGTCCTGAAGCTGGAAAACATGGTACACCCACTGATTTATTCATTCTTTCTGTTATTAGATACCCATTTATATTTTTCAGAACATTTTCAAATCAAACAACTGTGAAACCGACTACCTGGAGATCCGAGATGGATACTTCGCCAAGTCGCCGCTTATCGGGCGCTTCTGCGGGAAGGTGGCCAACGATGTCATCCGCACCGAGTCCAGTCGCATGCTGCTCACCTATGTCAATGCGCATCGCAGCGAGGGCTTCAGGGGATTCAAGGCTGAATTCGATGGTGAGTGACAGAGTGGGGATGCCCGGGAGTCATTGTGAGTACATGGAATTCCATTTTGGCAGTTGTTTGCGGCGGTGAGATGTCAGTGGACGACGCCGAGGGACGTTTGGAGTCGCCCAACTACCCGCTGGACTACCTGCCCAACAAGGAATGCGTTTGGAAAATAACTGTGCCCAAGGGCTACCAAGTGGCGCTCAAATTCCAGTCATTCGAGGTGGAGAACCACGACAGCTGTGTGTACGACTATGTTGAGATACGGGACGGTCCTGCCCAGGATGCGCCACTAATTGGCGTTTTCTGCGGCTACAAGCCGCCGCCAAACATGAAGTGAGTATATCTTTGAAAAGGAGGACCATCCTATCCCTGGCTCACGACTACGCCGTCCTTTTGTTCTGCGCCTCTTTCAGGTCAAGTGGCAATTCGATGTACGTAAAATTCGTGTCCGACACATCGGTGCAGAAGGCGGGCTTCTCCGCCGTGTTCATGAAGGAGGTGGACGAGTGCGAGACCCAGAACCATGGCTGCGAGCACGAGTGCATCAACACACTTGGAGGCTATGAGTGTAGCTGCCACATTGGCTACGAGCTGCACAGCGACAAGAAGCACTGCGAAGGTAAGTTTACCAACCTGGAACACTCCAAAGAGTAGATTCAAATAGTATTTAAATTAAAAGACAACCTAAACTCCCTTACTTTTTTCTAATGTATGGCTCTTTCTCCAAATCCTTGTCTAATTAGATGCCTGTGGCGGAGTTATCGAGTATCCAAATGGGACAATTACATCACCCTCGTTCCCTGAAATGTATCCCGTGCTGAAGGAGTGTATCTGGGAGATTGTTGCCCCGCCGACGCACAAAATTTCTCTCAATTTCACCCACTTCGACCTGGAGGGCACGGCGCATCAGCAGTCGGACTGCGGATATGATTCGGTTACCATCTACTCGAAGCTGACGGAGAACCGGCTAAAACGGATTGGAACATTCTGCGGAAGTGCCATTCCACCCGCCGCCACCTCCGAGGGCAATGCTCTGCGGGTAGAGTTCCATTCCGACAAATCCATCCAGCGGTCCGGATTCGCGGCCGTCTTCTTCACGGATGTTGACGAGTGTGCCGTGAACAATGGTGGCTGTCAGCACGAGTGCCGTAATACCATTGGCTCCTACATCTGTTTATGCCACAATGGATACTCGCTGCACGAGAACGGACACGACTGCAAGGAGGGGGAGTGCAAGTACGAGATATCCGCCCCCTTTGGCAGGATCTACAGTCCCAACTACCCGGACTCGTATCCACCGAATGCAGACTGCGTTTGGCATTTCATCACCACCCCAGGACATCGCATCAAGCTCATCTTTAATGAGTTTAACGTAGAAATGCACCAGGTGGGAAAAAACTCAACAAATTTAATTTCTATTTTTAATGAAACTTTAATAATTTTTAGGAGTGCACCTACGATAATGTGGCCATCTATGACGGGGAATCCGAGTCTAGCTCGGTTCTGGGACGCTTCTGTGGCGACAAGATTCCCTTCCCAATCTCCTCCTCAACCAACCAAATGTACATGGTGCTCAAGACCGACAAGAACAAGCAGCTGAATGGATTCACGGCCATGCACTCCACTTGTAAGCTGCCCTTGAATGTGAATGCCTGCGAGTAGGTGTAATTATTCTTTTCATACTTTTCTGACAGCCTGCGGAGGATTCCTGCGTGCCAGCTACCAGGTGCAACAGTTCTACTCCCACGCCACTTTTGGACACCTGCAATACGATGACGACATGGACTGCGAGTGGACCATCGAGGCCCCTCCCAACCGAAACGTCCAGCTCATATTCCTCACCTTTGACATTGAGAGCAGCGAGAACTGCACCTACGATTATGTGCAGGTGGTGTCCAACATGGAGGACACCAGCGGACCCATGTATGGACAGTACTGTGGAAATGTGGTAATTACATATTTTTTGATTTAAAAAAAAAGTTAAGAAAAAACTGCATAAGAAACTAAATTATCTCCATATTATGGAGTAATCCTTCGATCCTTCATCTAAACTTTCCATTTGTATATTAATTGTTTTTTATTATTGTTTTTTATCAGCTCCCGGCAGACATCATCTCCATGACCAACTCTCTACTGGTCCGCTTCAAGACAGACGGCTCCGTGCCAATGAAGGGCTTCTCGGCCTCTTACGTATCCGTGGATCCGTTTGACGTCACCGACGTGGATGTGGACAACTCGTACTCTTCGGAGATGGTCACCCCGTTTCCCGGTTCCCTGAAGAGCGTCTACATCGAGGACACCGAAGAAACCGACGAGTACAGTGACTACAGCGGCAACCAACTAGTCCTCAATGGCCAATTTCGAGGTCGTTACAGTCTGCCTCATCGGTACTATGGAGGAACCAATTAGAGCAGGACAAGCAAACGCAGATATCGCACAAAAGATTCATGACAATATATAAAAACGGAATTTATTTAAAAGATTTAGGCATATCGACGTGTAACTTTTTCCGCTCTTCCACGCGCACCTTCTGTGTGTCGCAGGACATAATCAAGGACCTCATCCTGGTCACGATTCGATGTTTTAGTTTTAGGAACTCAAAAGAAATCGTTAGGTTCCAGCAGGCCACTGCTGGGGAGTTTAAAATTTACTCAAAATGCTACCGATATAAAATCATCCACATTTTTGGGGACATGCTGTGGCAAATACTTAGGACTAGTGAATGCATGTAATGTAACTTGGTTTAGACCTTTCTTTAGACTCTGTAACTAAATGTTTGATTTCCTCTTGCATTTCAATCGCTCCTACTCTAAAGATTATTCTCTTAGGTATACCTATTTTCCCTATACTCGTACTGTGCCATATTAAATGGTTCAAAGCATTTTGTTTCCCTTGTCTTTGGGGAAGTTTCCGTTAAGCATCTTAGCATAAGTCGATTGGAGTGGAGGGCCCATATAAAAAGTCAAAATGGGAGTTAGGCTAGGAAGGGAACAGAGGACGGAAAAGTGAATTAAATACGCGAGCACATAACATATCTTCGGTAGCACCGAATGGATGGCCCTTGCACTTATGGAAGAAAGTCCTTCAGTCTGCTGGACGACAAAGAATTCAAGTTTCGATACCGATTCACTTTCCTGCAGGGTCAGAAGGAACCTTACACATACATATGTACAACTCTTGGATATTTGACTCAACTTAATACGTAATTAATTCTATACATACATATATATATTATATTATTAAAACTTGCATAGTGACTATGTTTAAAACCAAAACGAATGCGTTTCAAATGGGGGGGTATTTGAGAGGTTATATTTTACAGCAGCAGTTTACAAATAGAGCTATTATCAAGGATATTAAATTAAAGCCTGTTTAATAAAGCCCGAAACAGGCAGACAATGGACTATAAAAAAATAGACTGGACCGGACAGTGGCTTACCTTAATAACGCGGGCCTCGAGGGCTGACAAAATCCCTCATTTGAAACTTGTTCCAGCCAAAGTCTGTCACTTCATAATGCGTAAAACAACCATATGGACGAACTGGCAATGAATAAAGGAGAGTAGCAACACCTCAATAAGGGCTTGTTTAAAGCCGCTATAGCCATACAAGGTGCCAAAGAAGGGGTGCAGAATACATATATAATACCTAGCCGGATAAGAGTCTCACAATAACGCCCAATTAGTCGGCCGAGCCATTGAGTACGCGGAATAGGCTTTTTCTAGAATATGCCTGAAACACCCTTACCCTGAAACCTCTAAAAAATTATTTTCTCCTTTTCTTTTTATATCAATTATCAGAAATTTTTCCGAATTAAATCGCTAAATAGCGACGCTACTTTCAAAAAGCTCTCCCATTATTCAAAATTAACGCTCTTTATAGTGTTGATTAATTCTCCGATGGGGCAACATTGCGTTTTTTACATATCGATAGTCCCAAAAGGCGATAAATTTAAAATTTATGAATTAATCTTTGACAGAGCCATTATGATAAATTATACACCCTTTATATTATTTCATTAAAATAAATTACCCTTCATATTATAATCAGTTAAATACATATATTATTATTGTATTTTTATAAGCTCATCTCAGTCACAACTGTTTATAAACTATAATACCAAGCTCAGTTTAGTTTTTGTCTTCTCATAGAAATAAATATCATTGTCTTTGATATTAAATTCAGTGGATCTCTAAGTGAGTCCCTGAAAACACATAAAATAAGAACAGCTAGACCCTCTCTATTCAAAAATGCGTTAAAACCTGTATTCTGACAATACTAGCACAGATAAGTGTTGACTAATATCCTACATAAAGAACTTTGAGTTTCTTCTATATCGATATTAAGAAATGGCGCTAAGTTCAAAACTTACATATCAATTTAAGTTTTTAAAAAAGATTCCAATTCCAATTAGTTCCAATATTTTCATAAAGTGTATTAAGAGTTACGATTTTGGTTTAAGAAACAATACATAAGATTATGATGTATTTTTGTCACTTTTGGAAATGAAAAATTATTAATATCTTGGCTAATCTTGGCAAAAATGTCTACCCTTAGAATAAAAACGAAAATTCGAATTAAATATTCGATAAATATGGAAAAAAAAACAAATATTGTATTCATAATAAAAAGAAGAAACGGCTGCGAATAAATCGGGACATAATATGATGTCAAGTGGAAAATCTAAATTGATTAGCTTTCTCTAGTGGGCTCGCTTTTATATGCTACCTCGGCTTTCGGCTTATTATCAATTGAAATATTACAGTTCTAATTTAAGATAAGATTTGTTTAATTGGGAGAATATTTTCTAAAAACAACAAAAAATATAAGAGAGAACTTTAAAAGAGGTAATCTCCTCACAGTTACGCTCAATGATAAGATGGAAGTACCTTGTGTTTGGACCTTTCCAGGGTCCTGAACTTGAAGCTCTTCAAAAAGATTACTCTCCGGAAACATTCCAGAAATGATAGAATGGAAATCGGTTTCGCCCTCTGTTGAAATTCGATTTTGTTTAAGTGCATAATAACACTTAATTTCTTCTATAGTATAAGCGGTATTCCTTTTTATCAGCAAAAACTATAGAGGGCATACGCAACATATATGGACTGTGGGTTCCCATAATCAATAAACAAACCTTTTGGAGCGGATAAGTTTAAAAATAAGGAATGGGGTTTTTCATTTTTTTCATATGTTATTTATTTTTTTTATTATTATTTTTTTTTATTTTGCGTATAGTAATTTTTTCTCCCTCATTAAACCTAGACTATGTAGATTTTCCAGATACTCTATATACTTTTTTAAATACTTATTGAGGAAAAACACTATTTTCGAGGGATCCCATCACTAAATATGAACAAAAAATCTGAAAAATTTTTTGTCTCGAGGTTTTCATGCAGAATGGTGGAGATTCGATCTAGAAATCGTTTAAGGTACTCCGCCTGAGAATCGGATAAGAATTGGGGAAGATATAGCCATCACCGTGGGCCCTAGAGCAAAAAAACCCATCTTCAGGGGATCCGTCAGGAAAAATGGACAAAAATCAAAAAAATATTTTGTCTCAGAGTTTTGATGCAGAATGGTGGAGAATCGATCTAGAAATCGTTTAAGGTACTCCGCCTGAGAATCGAATGTGTTTTGGGGAAGATATAGCCATCACTGTGGGCCCTTTAGCGAAAAACCCCATTTTCAGGGGATCCGTCAGGAAAAATGGACAAAAATCTGAAAAATTTTTTGTCTCGAGATTTTCCTGCAGAAATGGTGAAGAATTGATCTAGAATTCGTTTAAGGTACTCCGCTTGAGAATCGGATAAGAATTGGGGAAGATATAGCTATCATTGTGTGCCCTATAGGGAAAAACCCCATTTACAGGGGATCCGTCAGGAAAAATGGACAAAAAATCTGAAAAATTTTTTGTCTCGAGGTTTTCATGCAGAATGGTGGAGAATCGATCTAGAAATCGTTTAAGGTACTCCGCTTGAGAATCGGATAAGAATTGGGGAAGATATAGCCATCACCGTGGGCCCTAGAGCAAAAAAACCCATCTTCAGGGGATCCGTCAGGAAAAATGGACAAAAATCTAAAAAATATTTTGTCTCAGAGTTTTGATGCAGAATGGTGGAGAATCGATCTAGAAATCGTTTAAGGTACTCCGCCTGAGAATCGGATGTGTTTTGGGGAAGATATAGCCATCACTGTGGGCCCTTTAGCGAAAAACCCCATTTACAAGGGATCCGTCAGGAAAAATGGACAAAAATCTGAAAAATTTTTTGTCTCGAGATTTTCATGCAGAAATGGTGAAGAATTGATCTAGAATTCGTTTAAGGTACTCCGCTTGAGAATCGGATGAGAATTGGGGAAGATATAGCTATCATTGTGTGCTCTATAGGGAAAAACCCCATTTACAAGGGATCCGTCAGGAAAAATGGACAAAAATATCTAAAAAATATTTTGTGTCGAGGTTTTAATGCAGAATGGTGGAGAATCGATCTAGAAATCGTTTAAGGTACTCCGCTTGAGAATCGGATAAGAATTGGGGAAGATATAGCTATCATTGTGTGCTCTATAGGGAAAAACCCCATTTACAAGGGATCCGTCAGGAAAAATGGACAAAAATATCTAAAAAATATTTTGTGTCGAGGTTTTAATGCAGAATGGTGGAGAATCGATCTAGAAATCGTTTAAGGTACTCCGCTTGAGAATCGGATAAGAATTGGGGAAGATATAGCCATCACCGTGGGCCCTAGAGTAAAAAAACCCATCTTCAGGGGATTCGTCAGGAAAAATGGACAAAAATCTGAAAAATTTTTTGTCTCGATGTTTTAATGCAAAATGGTGGAGAATCGATCTAGAAATCGTTTAAGGTACTCCGCTTGAGAATCGGATAAGAATTGGGGAAGATATAGCCATCACCGTGGAAGATATAGCCATCACCGTGGGCCCTAGAGTAAAAAAACCCATCTTCAGGGGATTCGTCAGGAAAAATGGACAAAAATCTGAAAAATTTTTTGTCTCGATGTTTTAATGCAAAATGGTGGAGAATTGATCTAGAAATCGTTTAAGGTACTCCGCTTGAGAATCGGATGAGAATTGGGGAAGATATAGCTATCATTGTGTGCCCTATAGGGAAAAACCCCATTTACAGGGGATCCGTCACTAAATATGAACAAAAAATCTGAAAAATTTTTTGTTTCGAGGTTTTCATGCAGAATGGTGGAGAATCGATCTAGAAATCGTTTAAGGTACTCCGCTTGAGAATCGGATAAGAATTGGGGAAGATATAGCCATCACCGTGGGCCCTAGAGTAAAAAAACCCATCTTCAGGGGATTCGTCAGGAAAAATGGACAAAAATCTGAAAAATTTTTTGTCTCGATGTTTTAATGCAAAATGGTGGAGAATCGATCTAGAAATCGTTTAAGGTACTCCGCTTGAGAATCGGATAAGAATTGGGGAAGATATAGCCATCACCGTGGAAGATATAGCCATCACCGTGGGCCCTAGAGTAAAAAAACCCATCTTCAGGGGATTCGTCAGGAAAAATGGACAAAAATCTGAAAAATTTTTTGTCTCGATGTTTTAATGCAAAATGGTGAAGAATTGATCTAGAAATCGTTTAAGGTACTCCGCTTGAGAATCGGATGAGAATTGGGGAAGATATAGCTATCATTGTGTGCCCTATAGGGAAAAACCCCATTTACAAGGGATCCGTCAGGAAAAATGGACAAAATATCTAAAAAATATTTTGTGTCGAGGTTTTAATGCAAAATGGTGGAGAATTGATCTAGAAATCGTTTAAGGTACTCCGCTTGAGAATCGGATGAGAATTGGGGAAGATATAGCTATCATTGTGTGCCCTTTAGCGAAAAACCCCATTTACAAGGGATCCGTCAGGAAAAATGGACAAAAAATCTGAAAAATTTTTTGTCTCGAGGTTTTCATGCAGAATGGTGGAGAATCGATCTAGAAATCGTTTAAGGTACTCCGCTTGAGAATCGGATAAGAATTGGGGAAGATATAGCTATCATTGTGTGCTCTATAGGGAAAAACCCCATTTACAAGGGATCCGTCAGGAAAAATGGACAAAATATCTAAAAAATATTTTGTGTCGAGGTTTTAATGCAGAATGGTGGAGAATCGATCTAGAAATCGTTTAAGGTACTCCGCTTGAGAATCGGATAAGAATTGGGGAAGATATAGCCATCACCGTGGGCCCTAGAGTAAAAAAACCCATCTTCAGGGGATTCGTCAGGAAAAATGGACAAAAATCTGAAAAATTTTT